TGCGCCAGGTCTCGCAGCTGTACAACAGGACCGCACGAACCGAGGCACCGTACACCCTGCCCTCTGAGCTGAAGCCTGATGTCACGACGACGTCATATGTGCTCGTTATGATGAAAGTATTATGGGGCTTTGCTACCCTTTGTGAATCCTGTTTCCCACACTGCCGGCAGCCGTAATGCAACTCCCTAGAGATGTGAAACAAGCGACGTGTTCCAGATTATCACCAACAGTGAGCGCAAGCGCAGACGCCTGCCAATTCTGGAATAATGTTTCACATTTGGCTAGTGGTAGTACAGGCCGTACTTGGATACCCTCATTGGTAAGTGGTTCACAGTGTTTTGAACTGCTTCTGAATCGTCCCCCATCAAGGCGATATCATCGGCGTAATCCAACTCCGCGATTCTTCCGCTATGAAGAAGCTGGACCCCGCAGTTCTTGGCACCTACCACTCATTGGACAACATCTTTTATGGCAAAATTGAAGAGGAAAGGTGGAATAGGGCAACCTTGGCGAAAGCGTTATCGACTGCAAACGAAAAGGTGAGTCTGTCGTAATTTCTAACTACGCCTGACGTGTGACTACGGTTCCACACCATTCCTTAGTAAGCAGTTCTAGAAAGCATATCTACCTACGGAATCGAATGTTGTCTGAATGTCTAAAAACACTACGATTGTTGGTCATCGGTTGGCGTGACGAGGTTCAAGAAGTTGGCGATGTGTGAAGATTTGGTCGATGTAACCACCGCCGGGACGAAAACCGGCTTCTTCCTCTCGTGGAAAGCCATCAAGTCGCTGCAAACTTGCGAAGTAAGACGGACATAAAAATCTTGGACACAACAGGAACAAATTCATCGGCCAGCTTAGAGTTGTTCACCGTTAAGGAATCAGGTAACAAGGAGAATGCATGATACAGGGGAGGGTAGATAATTGATTAGCGCGTGATTGTAAGGTTGGCACGATAGCGGTAGAGTACACCATCATAAAACGAATGAATGTGAGAGTGTGGTTCCATGGTTCATCATTATTCGTGACACTACAAGGTTGTCTGGCCAAAGGACGGAATCTACAAGGCAGCAGGGCAACATATGAGTTTCGGAGCCGGTGACTAGTCACTCAGTCCACACGACTTCCGGATGGCGATAGTCCATACCACGGACACTCGCGACGCCAAGGGCGAAATCCGGTGTTCGGATGGCTTGCCTGTTTACAATGCTTCCGATTAAAACAATAGGCAGTAGATTTATTTAGTGTCGAGTCATATCCGCCACATCGCAGTGTTGTTAAACAGACATTTGTGGTTTTTTATAGGAACAACGCTTGCCAAGTAAAACCCACCAAGTCCCGGAACACTGCCGCCAGGCCATTTGCTGGAACGAGAATTTCCCGAGTCATTCAGCTGACAACACGAGGTGTTCTGCAAGCCAACCAGTAGAAGAGTGCCTAGGGGCAACAGGCAAAGCGCATCGCACGGAGTAGTTGGCGCCAGCCAAAACAGAACCTGCAAGCGGACAATACAGCATTGTGGACTCAGATGGCTCAGGAATTGAAGGAGCCAGTAGTAGCCGGTAGATTCTGCAAATACTTCCTCATCCCTGAGGAATTATCTGCGTAATGCACGTCGACATGCTAAGTAAACTCATCATAATCATTCACTTCATCTCAGTGCTCGTTGTCACCTTGGCCTCGTTGAGCTTGACCTTGCACTCACTTGAGATCACGTGTTCGCGATGACCCACAAACTTTTACATTGGCACGGAGCAAATGCGGTGTGACCATCCCCCTTGCGTCTTCTTCATTACCCCTTTCGGTTATCCCGAGAAACTACATTCTATTACCCTTATTATTATTATTATTATTATTATTATTATTATTATTATTATTATTATTATCATTCTGTTCACTGCTACTCTGTCGGGTTGTAGCAGCTGTTGCGTGTGATGAAAAACAACGAACAACATTTCGCATGCGAATCGACTCATACAAATCTTTACTGGGGGCAGTACTGTTTATCGGACAAACTTCAAAAGCCCTTTTCAGAAATCCTCGCTCCGGTGCTATTGTAGATGATTTCAAGCTACGTCTGATATTGCTGTCCGGATGGTTGGAAACCCCTTTCTATACTTCGTCAACATCTCGCACTTAGACGAACGATGTAGTTGCTCTCCATTGAGCATTAAGTGTCTTTTGTGTTACAACAAAGCTGTTGTTTTGCATCTCACTTACTTGTACTATTTAATAATCGTTACACAAGCACATATATACCTACCACTCTCTTCTCCATAACCACCAGCGTACTTATTACAATCGCGTATGTGTCTCACCCTAACAAGCTGTTCTAGTTGACTTATTCACTTCGCGGTCACATCGGAAAATACTCCTTAATGAGCTCGCGATTTACTTGGCTGCTGGCCATGTCGTTCATGTATCCAGTTTGTAATTCACAGGCCACCAGTTCGATACTGGCTACAAGCAATCGGCTTCTGAGTATGCTTAGCCCACACGCGACTGTTGGTGATAGTGTGGCAGCTGCGTCTCGGTGCATTGTACCAACGTAATCTCAATGCGTTCCTTCCAAGTCAGTTTTATCTGTCTACGTGGCTGCATCAATGCGGTATGTAAGAGCAACAAAGCATGCAATTTTTCCGATTTTAAAGACCATCGTTATTAGGATCATATTAGCCACTATTCCCATTCATTAATATGGTTTTTCATGGGAAAACCATTCGATATAATCTTTCCAAGTTTATCTTCTGATCAATTCCGTTACAATGTTATTTGCTTCTTTTCGCCTTACTTGTTAACAGACATTAATTCGGTGTTTTCCCTTCTCCCCCATACGCCCACCCACAGGGCCCGTTTGTGGCTGCTTTCGCACAGGCGAACGAAGGAGATGTTTCCCCCAACACAGCTGGCGCGCGTTGCATCGACACTGGAAAGCCCTGTGATTTGGTGCATAGCATCTGTGATGGGCATGTAGGTTTCCCCATCTTCTCTCTCTATCTCTTCATTGTCCTGTCCTTCGTCATTTAGGCAAGCACTTGTATTGCTTTCGGACCCGGCCGAGATATGTTTGAAAGTACCAAGATTATCGCGTCAAAACAAATGCAGAAAGCTTGGGTATGTGATCGCATACATCGTGGTATATTTGCTCCATCTTATCCCCAGGAGTTATTCACCACGGCATCCGAGGAGCTTACAGGCCCCGTATCTTTTGTTCACCAATTTGTGGATATGACCAATATCAGTGTTCGCTATCAGGTGGATTTGTATTTTCGCTTCCTAACATTTGCGCATTCCTGTGACAGGGAAGAGCGGGTTTCACTTGTAAACCTGCAATGGGCTACAGTTTTGCCGCAGGGACCACGGACGGTCCTGGGGACTTCAACTTTGAACAAGGTACCTCGTTTGTGTGCCCCCTATCCCCGTGCTCATTTACCATAGGTACTACTGAGGGGAGTGTGTTGTGGAACATGGTTCGATCATTCCTCAAGACACCGAGTGCCCAATTGGAAGAGTGTCATAAACCAAAACCAATACTCTTTGCAACTGGAGAGGTGAGTAAACCGCAATGCCTTTGCGTACTAGCGTTGACTTTAGATTGACCATCCTTTGCCGTGGCAGCCTGCAATTGTGGAAACTCAGATACTCCGCATCGGTCAATTGCTCATCGTCGCTTTGCCCGGAGAGTTCACCACCATGTCGGGCAGACGCATTCGCAATGCAGTGGAAAAGGTACAGATGGTATTTTTTCTCTCCTTGGAATTCGCGTAAGGCATCCGCTCGGTTAGAAGCCCCATGTTGAGGCTGATCTTACATTCTTAATGCTTCTTCACCGCAGTTGGGCTAAAACAACATACACTTAAACTAGGTCTTTTTAAGCTGGATAAATTTCATTCCACTTTATTTGGTTTGCTTTGCCTACCTGAATAATGTTCTATTAACTGGCCACGTTGCTTACGCTAGTTGCGCTTATCTTCGGTAATTTTGTTGCGTTTGTGACATTTTTAAGTAACTTGTGGACATTTCTTACTTATCGCGGATTTGTTGCTAACCAACTTACTTCATATGGTAATTTAGCGAAGAGTTATGCCACCGTATCTGTATGCATTATTGGATTTATTTTATTTTATTTTGTCGTCTCAAGTGATTGGCTGTTGCTTGACATCCCCGGTGTGACTGCGCTTGATGTGCATGTTGACAAGGTGCCTACCTGTCTATTACCCACTACCTCGTTCATACTGGCTCCAGGAGACAGTTGATCGTTGCTAGAGAGGACGGGGTGCACGGTCCTTGTGGCCGTGTTAGGCTCGAATAGTGGTTCCATGCACTCAGTGCGTAGCGGACTATGGTCCAGCCACCGCCTTGTGTGTGCGCTTGATTCCTCAGCTACAGCGTGCTTGTGTTTGCCTGTGAGGGAGTGTGGGCCGCCTCCATTGATGAAACGTGGCTCTCATCCACATGCCTCCCGGTCTTATTCCTTCGGGTTTACACTGGATATGGGGTGTGTGGTTGGAGCTGTGGGTGGTGCAGCGCAAACCACACATGGTCACTCTGTAGGCGCAGGCGTCCTGTGGCTGGCGACAGTGACAGACAAATCCAAAACCGGATTCCGCCAACCATGATTGTCTATTCGTGTTTATTATGCTTCAACTTTAGTCTACCTTTCTCTGTCAACTGATATGTGAATGCGCGCCGTCTACCTTCCTTCTGATTGCTTACACTGAAGTAAACATTACGAAAGCATAAGTTATGCTAGGCGTTGCTGTTTCTACTTGATCCATCGGTCGTAACCAGTGCTGAGCATAGTCAGATTACAATCTTGCAACCTACTTGTCTCGTGCTCTCAGTAGCGGCAGTTCGCTTCGCTTATCATAGTAAATGCGTTTTCCCGGTTGCAGTACCATCACAGCTTTGTGAACTGTTTTAACCTTTTCCCCCATGCGTTGTGATCGACGTTGGATTATTCATCAAATTGCATTATTCCGTGCTCAGGCTTCCAGCACGAAATCGCACACGCACACAGCCTATTCTGATGGATGTACCTCAGACCATTTCACCTAAAGTGAATTCTACAAGCCGATTGGTTCAGACCTCTGACTTGTAATCCACACGATCCTGCACACGTATGGGCGACTCCACAATATCCCCAGTCCTCTCCACAAGTGCCCGTTATGTGACAATGAAGCGTCGGCACCACGTACCGGCGTACTACGATCCCATTGAATCACCGTCACGAATCCAGTAGCAGTCGCATTATGAAGCAAGGAATGTCGTTCACGCCTGGTCCAATAAGTTGGCGGACCTTTACTTCGGTAGATAAATGTACGACTCAATTTATGGTCCCTTATTATCTATCTTCTTTCATACCTTGGCCAATCTCACTCTATGGGGTTCTGAGATTGATTTGACATATCCCGATGCGACTGGGCTGGTCAGGTCACGTGAGGTAATCATTCATGTTCTGTTCGGTTTGGTTGGCTTTATTCAAAGCAATGCATTGTCAGCGGCACTATGTTCGCGGGCGTGAAAGGTGTTCTTTATTGATTGGAGGGTCATTTTAAAGTACTCCTTGTGTGATTAGATGGACTGTGGTTCGCATTGGATTGAATCGATCTCTAGAACCATACCTAAAGCATACGGAAATAGGGTGTTACCTGCACTGCGCTCCTCGACGCGTTTCGACCTTATTTTGTCTTCCAATATAGATAGCAAGCACTCGAGTTCAGGTTTTTTGCTCTGTCAGCCAACATCCCTACCCCGAAGCCACCCACCCAACATCTAGCTGCTTTGCTTACAGTCCCATTGGTGGAATTGACCACTGCTATCTCTATCTGATGAAATCAAATAAGATCGAAACACGTTATGGAGTGCAGTGTTTTCGGGCCAGCAACGCCCGCTATTCATCTGCTTTGGCAGTTACAGTTCGAGTGATCGAATTGACCATGCTTCACTTCAATGTGAATCGCGGTCCACATTGAGGTGGCGCGTCGCAGTCCATCCGTACGACCTACACATCAAAATGACCCTCCAATCAGTCATTGACCGTTGTGCCAAGCGTTGCTGGTCATGACCCGGTGGTTTAAAGGTAACGGTTACAACTACTATCTCAATGGTCGCTGGTTCGAGGCCTGTTATCTCCATCTGATGCGATCAGCTAAACTCGAAACGCGTCATCGAGTGCAGTGTTTTTGGGTGGGCGAAACCCAGTTTCCATCTGCTTCGACTACAGTCCCAGTGATCGCATTGACCATTCCCTTCAATATGAATCGAGGTCCGACTTGAGATTACACGTAGCATTGGCCGAGGGGATAGACGTTTCGGTTAACCTCCACATCGTCTCTGGCTCAAGACCTATTATCTCCACCTGATGGGACCAAATAACGTCCTTTACTTTCATTTGATCTTGGCGCGTTGACTCTCCAACTGCGCTGGCATGACGCCATCGCATCATTTTACACCGGTGCCTTAAACAGCTGTCATCCAGCAGACTCTGGTACCCTGCATGCACATACATAATGCACTGAATTTTCGCTTGGTTTGGGCGTCTAAATGTTGCTACTCACTCGTATCCATTCACTACAACTTGCTCCGATCGGTACTCTTGCGGTACTATTCAATGCATTCTGAGCTTAAAAATGTCATACAACCATTTCCCTTCAAAAATCTTAACAGAGCAAGAACAACGAACATTTCTGTGGAATATTCTGAATTCAGTATATTTCGTGTATTCTCTTCAGCCGCTTACATACAATGCGTGAAAATTTCATACGATTGAGAATAATAGGTCAAAACCAGAAATTGATGGTTAGTTGCGTTAGCTAGCCTGTCTTGCCTCATCAAGGCAAAGCAAAAGTGGCCACAAAAGTTGTTTACCTAGGTTAGACTTCAACCGCCGAATGGCAGAAGCCTCAGCAAAACACAGCAACTTGGGTTTACTCTGTCTTTTGATGACTTTGAATGCTTCGTGAAGATTCTGGCACATCGAGTAGTCGAATAAGTGCCGGCTACCAAAGCTGGCAGGTAATGTTGCGCCACGGAGAGCAAGGTTCCGTGGGACGTGTTCTGAAATCCAAATGGACAACCTCCTCTCTGTCCGACCAGTGTACATACTTCCGCAAGTACAATTAAACTGGTAAACACATGGGGCCGTGACAGTAGAGTGAGGCTTGTCCAAATTGTAGTTGCTTTTTGGTTCTGTGGAGCAATATAAGCTCAGCTATATAGTAACACCTCTTTATGGCATGAGGCAAGCGACATCAGAATCGTCTGTCATTTTCTTCCCCCTTGTAAAGCATTGCAATGAATACTTTTTTTGCAGCTTCAATTCGCTCTTCGTGCGGCCTGGTTTTCTCCCCATACCTTGCAATGAACTTGGCAGGGTACCCATTTTCACGTAGCCCTGTAGCTCTCCTTCAATCGTTTCCTCCCAACAGATACGGCGGGCTCTCACAAAAGATGCACGAACCAGGGAGTGCTTGTAGTTCATGGGGCAATAGTTGTCGAAGCTTAGGTATTGCCCCGTTCAGCTTGGTTCGCGATAAAGTGATCTCATGAGCGACCCGTCTGATCTTCTTTCCAAGACTACATTCAAGTAGTGGAACTTTTCTGACGTTTCGCTTTCCATGGTGAACTCGATCTCTGGATGACATTCATTAAACGTTTTGAGCGTGCGTTCCGCTTGCTGGGCTTCGTCCACCACCACAAATAGGTCATCAATATATCAAGCGTACAAATGAGCTTCCTGTAGAGGGCGACACAATTTGGTGTTCTCTAGATGTGCTACGAAGATGTCAGCCAAAATGGGGCCAAGCGGACTGCCCATCGCTACACCCTCAAACTGCCGATAGGGCCTTCCATTGAAACAAAATCGAGCATCTTTTGTACGGATACGGATTAAGTTCTTTAATCGATGTGGTGGAAACCCCACTCTACCTGCATACTTGTCTATAATGTTCAGCGTCTCTTCCAACGGGACATTTGTAACTAAAGAACACACGTCGAAAGATACCATTCGCTTACCGATCACGTTTAGACTCCGAATCATTTCAACGAACTGAAATGTATCTTTCACGCAGTGTACCGCCAACTCACGTCGGATGGGCTCAATGGGCTTGGCTAACCATCTTGCCAATTTCTGGTGCATGTTCCAACCATTGAAAGGATTGGGCGTTATGGAACCCCTTCTTTATGTACTTTCGGCAACCCATACCTCCGAGGAAGTCTGAAACCACGTGGCCGAAGTTGTGTCATGGTATTGGCATCGATCGATCCGTCTTTGTGCAAAATTCGCAACTCGCTGGTCATCTTTTCACCTTTTTCGGTTCTATCACGGCCTGTCAAATCTCTAACAAATCGACTTTCGTTCATAAGTGTGGTTTGCATTTTCTGTAGGTAATCCCGTTTATTCATCACAACAACTCCGGAACCTTTGTCAGGTCTCAGTATTAGTACCTCATCATTGCGACGCAACCGCATCAAAGAATCAAAATGTTCTTTCGTAATTATTCCACAGTTTTCGTGCTATGTAACGTAAAACAGAGCTATCAACCTAAAATATACGGCCAAGTGTACTTCTGAGAATTTCTGACACTGATTACTTTCTTGTTCAGTGGTGCCACCTTTGAGATAATGTTGCTTTCAGCAACGCATCCTACCGCATCCCTATGCCATGCTTCGGTATTTTTATTGCGCAAAATGCCTCCAATTTTCAGGCGATTTATACGCTAAATCACTAACTGCGTGGCCACTGATCTAGCTATTGACTGTACTCTGTCTTTTCGCTGTTCTACTTGTCTCTTCACTAGTTCCCTCCTTTTTTACTTCCGTAGATCGCATCGCCGCACTCCAACATCCACATTGCGCTAGCCGGGCTATCTAACGTCTACTCCAGTTACGTCGCAACGCCGGAAGAATACATGGTAAGATCTTGAGACAGTCTCTAGTACGACACACACGTTTTTAACCCATGGATGCTATCGGCACAAAGGCATTTACGAGATGATATTTTGCTATGAACCAATATACTTTATTTGTCATTCTGCGGTCTTAAAATTACTATTACACAGCGCTTTCATGGGAAGTTCATAAAACGGGATATACATTTTCCATCCGTTCGTCACGTTTGAGGTGCGTGCGTGTACTTATGGCCGTGTGGCTACTTTCCAGCTGGCTAGGATCAACTGCTTTTGCTTACTGGCATTCAGTTACCAAATATAATTTGTGTTTCCATGACCCACCTAATCGGACGGCTGAGTGCTTTTGAATAGTCTGATAAAGAATAGCGCAAACGTGCACATTTTGACGCGATAGATTAACACGAGAGAATTACCCTACCGACTATATGGTGGTCCGAAATGAAATGGCGAATGCTGTGCCAGATGACGTTTGCATCCATTAATGGGGCCAGTCTTGTGACCCTTGTTTTGCTAGATATACTGACCACCAGCGCGATTCTGTATCTAGCAGTTTCTCTACACTTCTTTACATCTTCCTTACTAGCACTGATGTTTCACTCAGCCAAAACGCAGTACAGTCAAGCGGGTTATTAACTCGTCCCTTCCGCATGTCTAAAAATTTGACTTACTTATACGTTAATTGAACTGGAACCCAGTTGTCAACCGTTAACTGGCGACACTCCTCACTGTTCATTCTTGGTGAGTGAGTTTGACACTTATTCGACCCTTATTCGACAGCGTAGCCTAAAAAGAATAAGGTACCTGATGACCCCCTCTTCCTTCAGCCCCTTAATTCCAAATCTACGCCCGGTCACCTTTTGTACTGCAATGTTGTGAACGTAGGCTGTCACCATGGACGATGGGCTTTTGTTGAAATACAGGACATCCTCTTTGGCCACTTGACTGCCTAAGGGGGGACCCAGCTACTCGGATTGCTGAAGCGATCGACCTCTTCGAATGGTTATTTGGCGTTAGAAGTAGTTGGTGCCGAATGGGTCGAGTTTCACCATCAGCGATTCACCCACATCTTTTAATAACGATGAAACAAGGATATGGTTCCCTTAGATGCGTTGCATTTGATTTTGCTGGTTCAGTATATGATGGACACCCAACAAACTAGCCACTCTTCGAAACACTTGACCTAACGTTCAAATTTAATAAATAAGTGATTTTTTTATTCTCGACAGCGCGACACCCGCTTGCGTGCTCGCGGTACCACAAAAATGACCGATAATTGTCCACAAATGTTACAACTTAACCAGTTCATTAGAGAATGTGCATATGTAGGGCATTTGTGGATGGAGCTGTGGGTGGTGCAGCGCAAGCCATCCATGGTCCCTGTGTAGGCGCAGGCGTCCTGTGACTGTCCTCTTGGAGGCCCCAGTGACAGTCAAATCCGAAACCGGATGCCGTCAACTATGTATGTTGCATTTATTATACTTCACCGCAGTTGGGCTAACGTGAATTACATGGTTTTTTCCGCAGTTACACTAGATCTAACCTAGTCCATTTTGATTCGCACAGTTTTTTATCCTCCGCATATTCTCCGCTTTATTTCGCGCGTTTTCTCTGTTTCCTCTTCTGTGTTAGTCGGCTGATATCCCCTGGTTTACACTTGTCTAACCTCACCCTGACAACAGATTAGAATTCATACCCATTTTTGATTTACCCAGTTCTCTCATTCTGCCGCACATTTGCTGTCCAGTTTGCATGTTTTTCTTCTTTCATATTCTTCTCTATTCCTACGAGGCCTCATGCTGAGGTTGGTGTCGCACTTATGATGCGTCTTCACCGCCGTCGGGCTAACCAAACTTACACCTAATTTAGGTTTCTTTATCTGGATACGTCATTTTTCTTTATTTGATTTGTTCAATTCCATTACTCTGCTGCATATTCGTTGTCAATTTTGCGTATTTGCTTTCCATCAAACTCTATGTTGGTTGTTTGTTATACCCGGTGTGGCTGCGCTTGATATGAATGTCGGCAAGGTGCCTACCTGTCGAACACCCTCCACATCGATTACTGGCTCCAAGAGACTGTGAATCCTTACTGCGGGGACGGGGTGCACGGTGCTCTTGGCCATGCCAGGCTCAAAGAGTGGTACCATCCAGTGTGGAGCGAACAACGCCCCAGCCACCGTCTCGTGTACGTCTGGTACGCCTGATTCCCTGCATAAATAGACAGGAATGCTGTTGCTGTGCATGTTGAAGGAGTGTGGGCCGACTCCGTTGATGAAATGTGGCTCCCATCCGCATTCTTTTCGGTCTTATTCCTTCGGGTTTACACTGGATATGGGGTGTGGGTGGTTGGAGCTGTGGGTGGTGCAGCGCAGCCCCCTTATGGTCCCTCTGTAGGCGCAGGCGTCCTGTGGCTGTCCTATGGAGGTCGCAGTGGCGAGCAACTCCGGAACTGGATAATGCCAACCATATGTATGTGGCCATGTTGAATGATGTTGATGTGACCCTGTATGTGTGATTGTGTTTGATCTGGTTATCAGTGCAAGGAGCGGTTCACAGGAACATCATCATTATACACGTTAGTTGCAGGTGGAAATCACCTCAGTTGTTGTGCCGCAATACAAAAGACAAGAAGAAAAAACATGCAAGCCGGCTGAGTCCCCAGCAACGGATAGACATCGTCGCGGAGAGCTAACAACCGACTATCGTGCCGCAAAAGTGCTAGAGTATGCCAAACGAAGGAGATCGTGATTGGAAGAGGAGGCTAAGCGGGAGTGGGATGGACAAAGGAGCTCACAACACAAACGCCATTGGGGCCGGCTCCTAGCCATATCAGCAAGTGTGTCCAACCAAACGTGTTCATCGTCCTTAGGACCCCAGCCAGGCAGTCGGGATGCACCAACCGACGCCAACTTCGAAGTGAGGGTTTTCATTTCTCTCGACCAAGTCATCGCTTGGCCTCCCCTCCTCTTCCAACCGCATCCCGGCGCGCAAACAATGCACATCGCGGGAGTCGGTGTGCTGGCATGCGCAACACGTGGCCCAGCCATCGGAGCCTGGTGCGTGATATAATGGTGCTGAGCGGTTCACTAGCTCTTCCTGCACCAAGTACGCGACGCCGAACACGCTCATTGCTCACGCGGTGCTCCCACCAGACATGAGCTAAGCTGCGGAGGCAGCGATGATCGAACGTGGCTAGTCTCTTTATGTCTGTCGACCTGATGGGCCAGGTTTCACAACCGTATAAGAGGGTTGAACGGACGGCTGCATTATAAACTCTGTCCTTCAGGGCGAGAGTGATGTCGCGTCTGCGCCACAGGTGGCGGAGATTGGCAAAAGCACCTCGAGCTTTTGCTATACGGTTCGTAATCTCAGCTTCGATCCCACGGGCGCTAATATAGCTGCCCAGGTACTTAAATTCCTGAACGACTTCTAGCTGATCACCACCAAGGGTCAGCGCAGTGGTGGGTCATTGTCAATCTTGTAGAAAAACTTTGCATTTCGATGAAGCAAAGCATGGCCCAGAACGGTTGACAGCCAGTGCTAATCAGTCTAGTGCAGCCTGGCACGTTTCAGCGCTGTCACATATGAGAGCAATGTCGTCCGCATACTAAAAGTCAAGAAGTCGCTCACCAGGAAGTAGCTCCACACCTTCTAGGTCGTGTTCCAGCGAACGCTGTTTCCAATGACTCTATCAATAGCGAAGTTAAAGAGGAAAGGTGACAGCGGGCAACCTTGTCTCACACCGCTGGAGATATTGAAGGGCGGCGACAGTTTGCCATAAACCCTCACTCTGCCCGAACTATGCGCGTACAGCGCTTTGATAATGTTTACATATTTATCGGGCACACCTTTTCTCAGCAGACAGTCCCAAAGGGCACATCGATCCACCGAATCGAAGGCACCTTTGATGTCGAGAAACACGACAACGGTGGGTCGCCAATAAACATGGCGGTGCTCCAACAATTGACGCAAAGTGAAGATGTGGTTGATGCAGCCTCGATTTCGACGAAACGCGGCTTGCTCTTCGCGGATCTGGCCTTCACGAGCGCCAGTCAGTCTGTGGAGAACGACAGAGGCAAGCAATTTAGAGGCAATTGAGATCAGACTGATCCCTCTATGGTTGCCGCATTCCGAACGGGAGCCTCCCTTGAAAATTGGGACTATGACGGAGCGGTTCCAGTCTGTCGAGACAGTTTCCTGCTCCCAAAGTTCCATTAGCAACTCGTGTAAATCATCTACAAGAGCAGGTCCTCCGAATTTGTAGAGAGCTGGGGAATTCTATCTGCACCAGCGGCCTTATGCAATTTCAGCAGTCTGATCTCACGTTCGACTTCTGCGCGTGAGGGCGGATCTAAGGAGACGGCCCATGGTGAAGGGCACTCAATGCCCGAAAGAGAAAGCGATAACTCAGATTGGTTAAACTGCCTTGCAAAGTGTTCGGTCCAACGCTCCAAGCGTTTTGACAAGCTGTGGATCGGCTATCCACTCTCGTCGCGTATTGTTTCGCTAACACCAGGTGTCCTGCTGCCTATTTCCCGTATCACACGGAATAACTTACGATGATCACCAACGGCAGCGGCTGTTTCCATTTCCGATGCACGATGAGACCACCAGGCTTCGCGGTCTCTCTTCAGGCTAGCACACAGTTTTGCCCTGAGATTTTTGCGAGTTTCATTGTATTCGCTTCCAGCCGGAATACGTCGGCAAGCATCCATAAGTTCCAAAGACGTTGTAGAGACCCATTGTCCAGGTTGGCAATTTGATTTGCCACATGAAGATATGCCTGCTGATAGTAACGTTTGACGAATATGCGACCAGTGATGTTCGACGGTGTTCAGTGGACGCTTACTCAGCCCAGATGCCAGCGTAGTTTGATACGCATTCAGAACACCTGGCTTCGCCAGCTGGCTGGTGTCAATGCGCTCAGAGCGACGTTGCGGACGTCCGCCGAAACGCACCCGCAGGTCGGCACACACGAGAGCGTGATCGGAGTCCACGCTGGTG